TGTTTATTGTAAGAGTTAATGTTTCTAAAATGTTCTTTTACAGGCAACAGTTCTGAGACCTGCAGCTATGATTGGTACAGAGGACCGTATTATGAATAACTGGGCACATTTTGCTAAAAAATATGGCTTTATTCCCCTCTTTGGAGATGGATCTACAAAGTATGTAAATCATATATTTGTTGAGTCTGTATTTCATATTATCAAAAACACATATTGTTGGCATTGAGTAGTTATAATTTTGTCGGAGTCCTGAACTTTTTTTCTGACAATTATCCTAACAACCACCACTTTCATTGCAGAATCCAACCTGTGTATGTTGTTGATGTTGCTGCTGGAATTGTCGCAGCCTTGAGAGATGATGGTACCAGCATAGGAAAAGTTTATGAATTAGGTGGTCCAGAGATCTTCACGGTGCATGAATTGGTAAGTTACTTTTTACAAATATCCTTTTCCCCCCAGAAAAAATAAAAAAAGAAATTCTTTACACATTTTTAAGTTTTATGCAGGCAGAGATTATGTATGACATGATCCGTGAATGGCCTCGCTACGTGAAAGTCCCTTTCCCTATTGCAAAGGTAAATAAGTAAAAGTTGTCAATAATGTGCAACATTGTATCCATGTTTTCACTTGTGTTCTTTGTATATTCCTCGCTATATTCCTTCTTCGTTAAAATCAGATTTATATTTCGTCATGGCTCAAATGTTAAAGATAAAGTTTTCTAATTCTTTTTGCAAACTTGAGGATAGAAAATTCTTACAGAACCAAACTCCTTTGATTTGTCAACCGCTCAATCAATTACTTGTGTCGAACGATAAAGAAAAGATAACTCTATTTTCCTTTTTTTCCTACTATTATGCCCAGTTGTAGAGGCCTCCCCCAACTCCTTGGTGGTACAGAATTTTTGTTTGTATTTTTCATTTGTTCCGACAGAATTATGTTATTTATCCTGGAAAGAAAAGAAATATATCCACAGCTATACCTATTTGAAGACTTTCTTCAGTGAGTATCGCTGTTATACTTGAATCAAGAATGAAGTTTCTCTTGAAATCAACTCTGACATCCAATTTGGATAGAAGATTCTTCCTCTTTCATAGTTCTGAAAATTGATCCTTCATTGCATGGAGGGTCCTAGGTTCTGCATGACTGTGCTCGAGGTTTTGATGGTGGTCCTATACGTTTATGTCATGGGTCAAAATGGTTGCTAGCTATTTATCTAATATAAAGAAGAAAAGAAATGGTAATGCATATTTCAAGAATGAAACTGCATTCTGCTGGTAACATAATTTTCCTGAAGAAGTTGCTTTTTCTTATACTTTCAGACCCCATCCCATTGATGTATATATTATAAACTTGTTAATTGAGAATTAAATGCTGCTGTTTGGTGTCAGGCAATTGCTTCGCCCCGAGAAATATTACTTAACAAAGTCCCATTTCCATTACCAACGCCAGAAATTTTCAATCTGGATCAGATCCAAGCTCTAACACAAGATACAGTTGTTTCTGAAAATGGTAAGCACCTCATTCTTTTCCTCTGCCAATTATAAAGTCAAGTTGTTTCCTAATACAATACCCTCTGATCTTGCGATTGGATTTGCAGCTTTGACTTTTGACAATCTTGGAATTGCACCACATAAGTTGAGGGGATATCCTGTCGAGTATCTTATATCGTACCGTAAAGGTGGCCCGCAATTTGGTTCCACAGTCAGTGAGAGAGTCTCTCCTGATTCTTTTCCATAGGCTTTTGAATATTTTTTGGAGCAACTGATATTTTGTATTCACCCTAGTTGAAAGGCTTTGACAACGCCCTGTTTATGTCTCCATTTGATTAAATAAAATGGAGAAAGTTTCAAGTTCAACCCTCGTGTATCCTTATCTTCTTCATTCATGGCTTAGAATGCAGTCCATTTGGTGTTGTAATTAATAAAGGCTGGGATGCTTGGTTACAGCATATTATGATCATAAGATGTGCTTTTCCAGGAAAAGGAAAAATGACAAAATTGGAGTTTTTTTTTTTTTGGCCAAGTTTGTGGGATATTTATTGGATGTTGGAAATACTACTTGAAATTGTTTGAGATGGTATCTCAAGTCAATGGTAAAAGATGTGTAATAAGCTAAGCTAAATGAAGGGTAGATGATTGGCTTATAATCACAAATTGAGGCAAATTCATTTTTTTTATATAGGTAGAAGCTAATTTTATTGATGATATGAAATTTAAAAAAGGACAAACCTATCCAAATAAGTTACAAACAAATTCTCCAATTGGATATACGAGAATTCAAGTTGTAATTGTTAAAAGGATTACATTTTTATAGCATGTGGTGGCAAAAAATAAATAGATTCTAAGACTTGTTGAGAAGAGTTTTCTTTGTCGTTGAAAGAGTATAACATTTTTCTCTTTCCAAATTGTCCAAATGAAGGCTCTGTTGATGTGTAGTCGGCAAAGCTTTGCCTTTTTTGCTTGAAGGGATGATGGAGTAAGGAGAATCAAAGCCAACCAATCTTGCAGATTATTGAGTAGAACCACTGTCCAACCAAAGAGGATAAAAACTGCTTCCAAATCATAGGTGTAGGGGCATTACATAAAAATGTGTGATTGTGATTCAGATTTTGATTTGCACAAGTAGCACCAAAAAGGGGATATAGACCACCATTAAATTAGTTGGTCATGTTTCACAAAATAGGCACATGTGGTTCATGTTATGTGTACTAATCTTGTAAAAGGGCATGGATGGGATTGAGTGTGAAGGGTGTAAGCTGAGTGCTTTTTAAAGCTGAAAAGTGGACTAAGGAAACCCATTGCACAAGGAAGGAAGCAGAGAGAAGAGAGCAACTTTGAGTTGAAACTAGGAAGGAAGAAACATCAAACACAACATTGAAGAAGTGATGGAAGCAGGCGGTGGGGCGTTCGAGCGGGCAAGGTCGGGAGGTATAAACGACAGAGGAGCTTCAATGTCAGTGAGGCATGGATGTGCAGAAGGCAAATTGCACAACTGTTGCTGCATAAACATTTATGTAAACAGCAACATTCAGGGAGTGAGCAACTCAATATTGAAGAATGGGAGTGAGGTCAAAATGGGAAGCCCAGGAGTTTGGTTCTTCTTTGATCAAAATCCACATCAAAATCCCAACCAATGGCAATGGTTATGGCTGTTGGTTGGTGCTGTGTTGCTGCTCATACTCATTGTTGTTGTGCTGTTGGCGACACCTAAGTTGGGAATGTTTCATTCTTAGACTCTCCTTTTGGTTTCAACCTAATGCCAATGCTTCATATCATCTCCCTCCTTCAACACTTTCTTTGTCTTATTATATCCTTTTAGATCAGTTTCATAGTCACAATTAGTTGTTCAATTGGATACCAAACATAGTTGGTTAAGTTATAAATCTACCTCTCATACTTGCATTTTTTTCAATTTAATCTAGGTTCTTTTTCTGTTTTATCATCAATTTAAGAAATTCAAGTAGAAATTGAATGTAGTAGGTTAAATCATAATTCTTATTTCTTACTTTTACTCCAATTAAATTGAAATTGAAAGACATAGAAGTTGATACATTCTTACTTTCACCTTTCCACATATAAAATCATAGGACATACTTCTACGGTACTACGCTAGATTTTTTTTTTCAGTTTTGTTGATTCTCATGATATAATCACATGATATGATGTCAATGTTTTGGTGATGTCATCATTCAATTTTAGAAATGACGAATGATAAACACTAGAGATGTTCTATAAATTAGATACAAGCACGTTGCCAACCTAAATATGGCTGGATTGGTTAAGGTTTATATCATCAACCAAAAAGTTAGAAGTTATAAATATCTCCAACTCCTATTGAAATCAAAACAAAACAAAAAGAAATTAAAAAAAAAACCACAAACACGACCTTAGCTAACATATTCATATTTCTTATGATATTTTAGGTTTAGCTTTGATTTTCCAATAAAATTCCTTATTTCTTCTTAATATTCTCTACAAACTTAACCTAATATTTGTTTCCAACATCTTTTAAAACCTTAATAAATTATATTTTACTTTCCATTTTGTGAATTGTCATTGTTACTCAAATATTTTCTTAATAATTTATGAATTCACAATCTTTCAATTTGAATGTATGTCGTTAAGACATACTCAAGTTAACTTCTTATTACTATGTTTTCAAAAGTTAAACAAGAAATAAAATCAAAATCAAACTCAAGATCGAGGGACATCTACAAGGATAACTGGCTTGTGGTAACAAAGTGTTCATAGCTACATTGTTTTTTGATCCTTCAATGCTGGCTCTTCCTATCATTGTAAAGCAAAATTCACAAGTGTTGGATTGTTCACTCATCAATAGAGAACTTGAGTTAGACTTAGATCATCATGAGACAGTCTTTGAACGGAAGTTGCACCCAGAGCCATATAGTCGAGGGCACGCCTACCTGAGCATCACGCATAGCTCCCCTTGCAACTCCCACACCACATATGGGTCCGTTGCCGCAGGCGAGGGCACACGATAGCCTCCTATGTGCCTCTAAATCAAAATCCAGGCTAGAAGCGACACATGCACCCATCGTAACCTCACGACTCCCAAAGACTCGTGTCGTTGGTGAAACCCTCGTGAAAGATGAGTCCCAAAGACACCCTGTAACATAATTCCCACGAGGAATAGGTAGAATCATTCTCAAACGACTTAAATGAGCGATAGGTTTTAGTTCTCGACTTTTTTTTGATATGCCATGTGGTGTGATAGTTACATTACGATCGTACAAACTAATGTGGTAAAATATACTAATTTGATAATATTTTTATGATGGTTGGACTTCCACTCTTCCTCCCTATTCTTCTTCCTCTGATTGTCGACACCCTTTTTGGCGGTCGTCGCCTCCTTTTCCTTTGATCGCCATTTTATCTTCTTCGCCGGTGGTCGTCTATTTGGTTTACTCCATTAACAACCATATTTAAATTTAGTGCTAAATAAAAGAAATATGGCAAAAAATAAATAAATACATTTTCAAGTAGGTAAAAAATAGTTCAACGGGCTAAAATGGTGATTCTAGGTGCAGAAGTGGCTAAGAATACGAGTTCCATGGAAAAGCAACAAAGGAATTAGTCATCGCATTCGTTAATCTTAATATAAAAAATTGAGGAATAAAATTGCGACGCATCAACAGAGCATTGATCGGGACTCATTGAGGCAAACGCAACAAACAAAATTGGGGAATGTAGAGATTAGGGATTCATTTCTTGACGAACTGCAGGCCATTGGCGTTGGAGTAGCGCTCCATGAATCTCATGAACCTGTCCCACTCCCTGGGGGTGCGCATCACGTACTTGGCCTCGATTCCGGCGGGCTTCCCGTTGACGAACTTGGCGTTCACATCCACCGACTGAATCACCCCTTCCTCGTCGATCATGTAGAAGCCCGTGATGTCCCCAACCTCCGCCGAGGAGTCGAACACCGACGGCTGCTCGAACCTGAAT